ACACACACACACACACACACACAGAGAGAGAGAGAGAGAGAGAGTTTGTTTTAGGAAAACAACACTTATTTTATTCAAAAATATTAAGCAGCACAACGGTTTTCAACATTGATTGACTGATTGATTTAATTTATTTATTTTAGTATCAAATTAGCATATTAGAACACTAAAGACTGAAGTAATGGCTGATGGAAATTCAGCTTTGCATCAAATTGTAATAAATTACATTTTAAAATATATTAAAACAGAAAAGTTTTTTTTTTAATTGTAATATTTCACAATATTACTGTTTTTTAAAGCCTTGGTGAGCAGTAGAGAATTCTTTAAAAAAATCTTATAAAACAGTAGTGTACATATTTAGTGAACAATATTTGCTCTTTCGCTATATTAATATCATGAGTATGTGAACACAGACAGTGTTTAACATGCACAACTGATCATTCATTCATTTATTGGAAATATTCAACTCAAATTTTAAAATAGTATCTCACTGGAACATGCTGCTTTTATTTGGCATGAGTTTGTGAAACGATCATTAAACGCACTGTGCCAGAATCACTCTGTGGCTCCGTGTTCACTCAAAGAGTCTAATTAGAGAGCAGGGAGAGGAGGAATATTCCATATGCCAACATGTTTCTCCACAGCAAGCAAAATGCTGTCATCACTCAGTTCTAGATAGTTTAGCTGGAGATAAAAGTTCAGATCAGTCTAAAATGTATCCTGGAGACATGACTGAATGAGTACGTCTGCTGTGCCAAACCCATATAAGGAGCGCAAGTGCTGTGGAAGACATGAGCAAAAGAAGACACGTTAATATGTGTCACAGATGCATATGAATATTTGTTCTGTAATATACACTTCTATAATGCACTTCTATATTGTGGCGCATACAGCAAACAAGTTGAGAGAGATCAATAGAGACCCTCGCCGTATTAACCACAGCATCACAGTAAGCAAAGCTGACAGGCGACTCCACGGTTTGGAAAAGCGCTGCGGAGGACACGCTTGATTGTGTTTGGAGGAGAGTGGAGAGAGGGACTTCTAAAGGACAAGATTCACCGCTGTCATAAATTAAGGATGACAGATGTGCTGTAATCTCGGGAAGAACGTGGTGAACCGAAGATCTGTTTCATAGCCTGTTTGAGAAGGTACGACTCCCCAGATCATTCTGACCTCTTTCTGATTCAGGGTTCAAGAGCGTCGTGCAGCTGGGCTGTGAAATGCAATATCAGATCTCGAAGCACTTTAGCCTGAACTCTAAGACTTTGATTTCCAATTCTGATATTTAGGACTAACTAAAAAGACAGATAGACAGAAGTACATTTAGATTTTATTTATACAAATTATTATTTTTTATTTTATTTTAATATATAATAATAATTATTATTATTCATACAAATTATTTTTATTTCATAAATTTAATTTTTACTTGAATATATTTTAATTACATAATTTAATATATAATAATAATAATTATTATTCATACAAATTATTTTTATTTCATAAATTAAATTTTTACTTGAATATATTTTAATTACATAATTTATATTGTTACCATTTATAATATTTTATATTCACACTATTTTTATTTTAAAAATACAATATTTGTATTTTAATGTATTGTATACTAAAAATTAAATAATTATATTAAAATGTTAAAAATCTAATATTATATTTTAATTTATTATTATTTTTAAAAATGAAATACATTTTTACTTGAATATACAGTATTTTATTTACATTATTATAATTAACAATGTCATATATTATCATATATATATATATATATATATTTATACTATTTTTATTTTAAAATTAATATAAATTCATTTTATTGAACTAAATATAATTTTATTTTTAATAATAATAACAATTGCATTGTTTTCTTATATGTATTTATATTAATTTTTATATATACTTTGTTAACAGAAAAATAATCGATTTCAGTTAAGCTCAGAGAATGAAGGACAGACAGATAGGATATGACTCATAATCTCAGTGTCATTCAAATGTCTCAGCTCTAATTGGGCCTGAAATCAGTCTAGTCTTTCAGAGTATTTTTAGAGTTGTCTCTCTTCATGCTGGCAGACACTGTAGGCTGTGACATCTCATCTCTCCTCTTATTCATAGCTCATCAAGGGCTTTTATTCTGCCTGATGAGCAGAACTAAACAGCACCAAAGGATGCCATGTACCATATACTTGTACTCAGTGATGATGGATGGATTCAAAAATATGATCTTTAATAAATACAGTCTTGGCTACTCTCCAAATGTCTTTAGGCGGGGCTGGTTTTGGACACTTTTCTAGCTGAAAACCAGCTTGGTAAGTTTGGGAGACCATCTTAAACTAGTTAAGATCAGTAAACCCATCTATCTATCAGATCATATAGATAGATCCAACAACAGGCTTAATTAAATTAGAATTCAAGCATTTACTGCACAAAATGAGTAATGTTTCAACAGGTTTGTTGTTGCTTCACAATTAGCGGCTTGTTAAGAGACCACAGCCGTAGATGCAGGATAGTGCAGATCTGTGTGATCAGTCTGTGTTTAGGCATGTGTGCAGTAGATTCTCAGCTGTAAATAAACATTATCCCGCTGAGAAGCCACTCCAGCAAATTCAAGTCATGTAGGACGCTGCCAAGTTGTGCCGCTCTTCCCCCCTTTCTACTAGTCTTCTCTACTCTTCTTTCATCCGTCAAGAGCAACACTTTTTCTCTGCCTTCCCGCTGTTAGTCTTTTATCCTCCTACTGAGTCAAACTGCACAGCTCCCACAATGCTCATCTGCGACCTGCCAGTTCAAGTGTCAAACTCGTTTAAAAAAAAAAAAAAAAAATCAATTTTTATTCCTTTC